GTGATTGATATCAATTTGGGAGTGATCTTTCAATACAATTGCATGCTTTTTTTTTACAAATTCATCAACTCCAATTTCAGACTAGCATGAGATTTCTTAAGTTTTCTATATGATAGATGAATGATCTCACAAACTTTAAGTAAATGATCATAGGTTAGTTCTCATGTCTCTTCTTAGTTAGACTAATCAAGATGATTACTCATCAAGCACAACTTTGTTGTCTCCTCCTTAGCTTTAGTCTCAGAGGAGTCATATGCAGAATCCACCTAGAACGTCTTTTGGAATAACTTCTTATCATTGTCCATTCTAAACTTGGGTTTCTCCTCACTCTTCTCCTTGCTTGGGTGATCCTTAAGTGTAGGACAATCAGCTTTGACATGTCCAAGTTTCCTGCATTCAAAATAAACAACATTAGAAGAACTTTTATAATTTTTGCTACCCTTACCTTTGTTCAATTTCTGATGGTGCTTGTGATTCTTCCTTAGAAAACTTTTGAATTGCCTAGTGATTAAGGCAACATCATCACTTTTAGACCTGAAAGAATCAGTGTCTATGTTGTTGGCCTTTAGCATCATAATTTTCTCCTTCTTTCACTCACCTACATCAAGTTGTCCTTGGTTCACTCCTTGATCGTAAGCAATGAGTGATACAAGTAAGTTATCAACAAAATAAATATTCAAATCTTTGGATTCAATAATTATAGTAATCTTAGCATCAAAGGAAGAAGGAAAGTATCTCAAAATTTTATCCACTCTTTTATAGTTAGTTAACTCTCTTCCTAAGACATGCAATGAGGTAACAATTTGAGTAAACCTAGTATACATATCAGAAATCGATTCAATATGTTTCATACAAAAAAGTTTGTAGTCATATAATAAAATATTCAACCTAGATTGTTTAACTTCATTAGTTCTTTCATAAGTAATACACAATCTATCCCAAATATTTTTACTAATAGCACAAGTTGAAACACACATATAATCTTTCAATTTCAAAGCACTTAAAAATAGATCAAGCATTTTGCATTTAGTTGAGCTAAATCTCTATCCTCAAGAGTCCATTCAGTAAAAGTAAGTACAATATTAATGCTATTAGTTTTACAAGATGGAGGTGAATAACCATTCTTAACAAGCATCCATATGCGATAGTCAATCGATTGCAAAAAAGTAGACATAAAAGTTTTCCAAAATTAAAAAAGAATATTATCAAACAAAGGTGGTCGAGTAATAGAATAACCTTCCACAGTATTACAATTACCAAAGTTATTCATTGATCAAAATTCAAAAGTTTTCAAAAACTCGATTTTCTGAATTCTGCTCTAATACCACTTGAAAGTTTGACAGAAATGTTAAGCCCTTATAAACTAGTCCCGAGGCTAACCAAGAGGGGGGTGAATTGGTATTTAAAAAATTCTTTAAACAAAATCATAAACATAACCAAACAATCATCACAAAAATTAAATGCATAAGTACAATAAAAAAGAACACACCAAATTTTATAGTGGTTCGATTAACTTGACCTACGTCTACTCGCTAGAGCCTCTCCTCCGAGTATTGAACTAAATACAATGCCTCTCCCAAGGTGGAGAAGCCTATAAAAAAACTCCTTTCCACCGACCTTGATGAGGCAGAGAACCCAACTCCTTTTGCTTCCTCCTAAAGCAGACAAAGAAATAAACTCCTTTTGCTTCTTCCAGAAGCAAACAAAGAACCCAACTCCTTCATATTCCTTTAGAATCAGGTAGAGAACTTGGATCAGTTGTTGAAGTAGACCTCTCTAGAACCCCCAAGGAATCAGGGATGATGACTGGAGAACATGACACGAATCCTTAGTTGGAGCAACCTTCGTGAAACTCCTCACAAACTCTCCCTCATAAGATCCTCTCTTTCTTTGCCTTGATCTCCCTCTCCTCTTGGCTCTCTTAGGTCAGGACAACAGCAAAAGATCTTCCCTTTAGAAAATAAGAGATCTTTTAAACAAGGGCTCCAAATTAGCCCTAATTAGCAACTAATCATTAAATATCATCCAGTACGATAATACTATCATCCTATACGATTAGTTCAACTTGAAGAATATCATCCAAACAATCACCCTGGATGGATGTCTAGACGATGGAAAAAATAACTTAATCGTTTGGGCCAATTAGTACGAAATGATGAATATCATTCATAACATCGCCCTGAATAGATGTTTAGACAATGTAAAAATAATTTGAACATCCAGGCTGATCTCCTGATCATCTCGATCGATTAGTTTAATTTAGTACATATCATCCAAAGCATTGTCCTGAATAGAACCAGGCTGATTTTTTATTGTCCAGAAAGAACTAAGGTTTGTGAACTGATCATCCCAGCTGATCCTGTGATTATCCAGGATGATATGATCGAGCAATTAAATCTTAATTGATTTTCTTAATTATTAAATTAATTTAGACATAATTGCAATACATTGTCCATGACGATGTCCAAAAATAAAATATACCTAAATAGATATTATGGCTGATTCTTTCTAATTTGAGCCGATCATCCCAACCAATGCAAACGTCGTCCAGGATGATATACTTAATTACAGTTGCCTTAATTAGGGTTTATATTTTTAACTGATCATCCAGTTCGATTTGTGGATCATCCCGGACAATGTGATCGAAAATAGAATACTCTAAAATAGTCAAAAAATTTCCCCCAAGTGTGTGTGCAAGGTTACTTAGCATCAGAACCCACATTATTACAATGGACTCAAGAAAAGGTAAAAGACATTTGTCGTACATTACAAACTGACTCAATCCTAATCTACCCAATCTTGAGCTGGTTCTATTTGCAATTTGATCTAGTGAACCTGAAACTTTAGTAGGCAAGGCAGTCGTAAAAAAATAGAAATTCATCAAAATTTTATTTCCTGAAATTAGATACGTAACACAAACCAGTATCTAAAAATAGCAACAAACTTTATCAAGGTGGTCTCTACATTAATCTTTTCTTGGAATTTCTCTCTATACTAACAAATCCACCATCTTTCAAGTTCTCCTTTAAATATGAATACTGCAAGTGATACTTTTTTATCCTTTTGGCACTGCATGCTATCAAATATATTCTCTATCCTCAATAACCAGTCTTTTATTGCTTGTGGCTCTATAATTCCCTTAAATAGTGAGAGTTTTAACATATGGATCATCTGTAGATGTTTATCCTCTTCTAATTCCTTGTGTTTCACCTATCTATTATGAGTATCACTCATAGCCTGTACAAGCATGTTGACTAGCTGCATCAAAGTGTTCGAACACACTAGAGCTTCTACTACTTCACTTTGTCCATTATTTGTATCCCAATCGATAAGCTCCATCTATACACTGATAAAATCCTCTTTCCTAATTAATTAATTCATAAACTAAATAAATATACATATGTAAAGTAGATAAATCAATATAGAAATGAAAATCTATCCTACCCAACTTCTACCCCACTCAAAATTCAATTCTTATAGCTCTGGTTATAATTTAATTCTTCCAACAATTTCTCTAATACCAATTTGTGACGCCCTAGAATAATATTTAAAAGTATTATCTGTTTTATTTTTAATTTTTATATATATTTATTTCTTATATAAAGTGGTGATTGATATTGGCTAGAACTGAAACATACATATTTAATTCTTTTGCCTTGCATTAAAAATAGCAACAGAGTTTTGGCTTCCTGCTGAATGTCTTAGCTCATTATATAGATTTTTATAATTTCAGGTTAGTGAAGGGGTCATGACCAGATTGACTGAAATTGTAATAGATTCTCAGGGTTTTTTAAGATTTTATTATGCATTTCCTTTTTATTTTTTTGTAGTCAGGAGTTTGTCATAGGATAGTGATTGTACTGATTTCGTGACTATTGTATACTATTTTAGAAGAATGAATATAATGAAATATTTTTAGGTATTTAGTTGTTAGTTTTTTGCACCAGATATATAGATATATTATTTAGATGCTCTGGTTGATAAATTAAAAAGATAGAATAGATAATTTTTTTCAAATTTGATTCTGGGGCATCACAAAAAAATCTCTGAAAAAATAGTGGTGGTGGTATCTTAACTACATTTATAATAAGTTTTTCTACTTTCTACTTTCTTAATGGACTAAGGTTATTTTTTTAGGCTTGCTAGGCTCTATGGGTGCTTCCTCAAGAATTTCTTTTGTAAGCTTCTCCTCCTTACTAACTACTTCCTCAAACACTCTTCCCCTCATCAATTATATATCTTTACAATGTTCCATACCATTTTCCTTAAGATTTTTCTTTGTATTTCTAGGCAAGTATCCATAAGATCTTCTATTCAAAGAACTAACTAACTTCCCTAATTAATTTTCAATATTCCTTTTCATAGCAAGTTGACTTTATAATGGTGTTTCTATTTACAAAATAAGATCTTTTAATGAAGGCTTTTAATCCAAATTTTATTATTTGAACTAAATCTAAGTGGACAATTAGGATTTATGTTTTCATAATTCTGAGGAGGTGGTTTGAAATTTCTTAATTGGTTGGGGTAACTAGAATTCCAGTTACTAACCCTGCTCTAATTATTACTCCAATTAAAGTTATGGTGATTTTACCAAGTAGGTTATAAGTATTAGAGTAAGGGTTATTTTATCTTTTATTGATGACATTTAATTAATTAACTTCTGACATATTTGGGTCATTAGATGATCCATACATATTTTCTTCTATTGGTAAAGGTGTGTTTTGGGATGTACTAACTCCAATATTATATATATTCTAGATATAGTAGTTACTTGAAAATTCAAAGTTGATAAACCATTATATTAATTCACACTATCGACTTTCCTAGGGTTCACTCACTCAAACGACCATTAAAATTATTGGTTGCCATTTCTTTAATCAAAGAAAATGCTTCATCAAAGGGTTTGTAAATCAAAAGGATCTCTAACTGCTACATCTATAATGGATCTAAGAGAACCTATAAGACCATTGTAAAATGTTTGAATGATAAGACAATGAAGTAATGCATGGTGTGGATACTTCATAAGTAATTCCTTAAATCTCTCCCAAGATTCATATATTGATTCTTCATCTAGTTTTGTGAAGAATGTAATGATAATCCTATTGCTTTCTTAGATGGGGGAAAATACTTGACTAGAAATTTATGAGCCAAGTCATTCCATGTGGTGATTAAACCTAGGGGAAAATTATTTAACCCGCATCTTAGCCTTGTCCTTCGATGAGAATGGAAACAACATCAGTCTAATGGTTTCATCAAAAAGTTTGTTACACTTAAATGTAGCCCATATCTCTAAGAAACTGGTTATATGTAGGTTATGATCCTTTATAGGGGTTACCCCAAACTAGAAGCTTTGTACCATTTGGATGATAGTAGGTTTTAGCTAAAAATTTTGAGCATGAATATTTAGTGAATTAGCAATTGATTTTGTGAATACCATCAACCATGTGATTTGCATATTCTCTAAGCAGACTAAGTTGGTCATTCTCCTAAATTTGGTCATCCTTCTCTAATTATTATTTTTTTCATTTCAAAAATTTTTAATTTTTCTTATGATTCTATCTATTTCAAAATAAAATAAGATTTTTTCTAATCGGTTCATATTATGCATGCAACAGTAACACATTATACTAAAAATGTAAATCACTGCATAGTTGAATAATTAGTAATATTATAATACTAAATTTTAGCAAAAATAAACTACAATTCCAATACAAAACAAGTTAAATAAAGATAATGATAAGATTACATTAGCAATCCTTTTAGTAATAAAAGTGAATAACCTGATAATTAACTAAGAAATCCTGACAATGATGCTAAAAAATTTACTGCTATTATTCTTATTATATTGGTTATTTTAATGGGATCAAAATTTATTCTAAAGAAGCATATGTGTCGTGTTAAGTAAATAAGTGCTGAATAGAGTATCATTCCCATGAGGATACAAATTACCCTAAGGTTTCTCTAGTACTACTTAATTTATCTTATTGATTAAGTAAAAAGAGTGTGCTAATGAAAATTTACAATTATGGTTTCAAGAAGAAAATTCTATATTTAAAGTATTATGAACCTATGCTATTTAAAAACACATACTTGCAACAGTTAGTTTTTTTTTCTAATGTTGTTGTGAGTTAGAGCATAATTACCTCTAGTCTTTGTTAAGCTTGATGGAGTGTTTAGCTAAGAATTTTCTCAACTACAATTTTAATATCCTCTTAAGATCCCAAAACTTTAACCACCATATGCCTATGCATGGCAAAAAGTTAAGTTTTAAAACTCCTAATGCTCTTGTACACCTCCATCGAGATAATAAATCAAACTATATTTTATGTTCATGCAAAGTCTCTATATAAACTAAAACAAGTATGAGGAATTTAAAATTAGTATTGAGGAATTCATAAAATTATAAATCTTATCTAAAGAAAGTAAGGTTTCTAAAGTATCATAAGCCCAAAGAAAAAGTTGTAGCCAAACATTAAGATTAAATTAAAGAAAATAAATTATATTGCAATATAAAAAATAAAAATGAAAGAGATGAGTGAGGACAAATATTACCAAAAAATCTTTTACAATAATGATTATAGACTCCTTACACTCCTTCCTCTCTTCCCTCTATACTCTCCCTAGATTAACACAAAATACACATATGGCTACCCACCCTAATAGAAGCAACCTCTTTCATGTAAACTGAGCTCTCTATTTATGATTTTTGCAAAATACTAATAAGGTTCCACGATGTTAGGTAGGTAGCACTGTTGAACCATCTTGTTAGTTCATCATATGCATTCACTATTTCAACTATCTATAAATGTATTCCATTATGTCATTCAAGCAATTTGGCATTGTAGCGGTTGGTTTGGTGCTACAGTGCTCTATCATAATGCTTTTATACCCTGCTCTAAGATGAATTTAAGTTTTTTTTTTTCCTACGATGCAAAATTCATAGAACTCTAGAGTTGGCGTAAATATAACACTATGGTGCTCTATCTGTGGCACAAATTTAATTTAAAAAAAAATCTTATTTCCTTTGCAAAAAGATAGAATGAACTAGAATTTTTATAAAAATAGAAGTAATTTGGACAATATATTTTTTTCTCTTGTCAATATCATTGATAAAAATAATCATAAATTGGGCCATATGTGCTTTAAATATCCTATTCATTAAATTCATAAATACAACAGGTGCTTTAGTCACCCCAAAAGGTATAACTAAAAACTCATAATAGTCATATCAGGTACTAAAAGTAGTCTTTGCCACATTCTCCTCTTTTACTTTTAGCTGATAGTACCCTGACCTTAATCCTCTCATAGAGAATATATATGCAACTTCTAGCTAGTCAAATAGATTTTGATAAAATAAAATTTTCTAATAACCAATTACAAATATTATGAAAATTTTTATTTTAAATCCTTATGTTTTGTGCAAGAAAATATTAAAGTAATTTTTGAAAATTAAACCAGCACCATAGTGCCACAAAGTTAATACTATAGTGCTAAATCTCATTTTAGTGATGCAGTGTCAAACCTTCAATGCCTCAATAGAGAGCTCACAAAAAATTAGTTGGAGAGCTTGGCATCAAGGTATTATACATGAAGCATCATAGCGCCAATCACCCAGTGTCATGGTAAGAGTTAGTTGAATCAGTGAACTGAAGTGATGAATAGTGAATCCACCCATTACTTCAGTAACGCTCAACATCATAGCTCTATTTCAATTAATTTGTAGAATTATAAATAGTAGACTTCGTCTTCATGTAATGAGGTTAGCACATAGTGGAGTCATTTTGGAAGTGTGGGAGTGGGTGTGAGGGGCTATCTTGAGAGGGAGAGACTTGTTTGTCTATGTTGGAGTGTTCTATTGGAGTGGAGTAGAGCGTACAAGTGCAAAAAGGGGTTGTATCTTAATTTTGAGTCATTTTAAAACCTTGTTTTACATTATTTATTATAACTTGTGTTTGTAACTTATGTTTTATTTAGTAAAACAAAATATTTTTATTGTGTAACTTTGACTCCATATGAATCTAAATATTTCTTTATGAATTTATGGTTGTTTAAGAAGTATGTATTGGTTAGAGTAGGTTTAAGCTTTAAAGAACTCAAGCTTTTTTTAATTTCTTTGTACTCCAATTAGTTTATGTATATATTGTACATAGATTAAAAATCTAGTATCATCTAGAGCCTTGATAGAGGGTTAAAAGAATAATTAGATATTTTAAAATATAGTTTGACAATAACATAAATATATGTGGTTAGGATTATGGGACCTTAAGGAGATAGAAAAACCATAGTTATGAAGGATCCTAGCTAATGCTTTAACTAGTTTAACATATTTATGGAGTACTTAAGCTATATTCCACAACAATAATAAGAAGAAACCTCTCTAAGGAAATCATGTATTTTAAAATATATCATAGGCTTAAAAATTTTAAAATAGTGAATATATTTTCATATTTGAAGCTTTTTAATTTAATCTAAAGCACATGTTTAAATCATCAACCTAGATAAATATAACAACTTAGTAGCCAATACTAAAGGCCACCTAAAACTATTTTAGATTCCTCTAAAAAACCTATAACATTTCTCTTTAGAAGCACTTACAAGTTTGGGAGCATGCCTGGCTAATGCAATAAACTCTACCTCATATTATATTACTGTATTGTTTCCTTACACCAGTCTCAAAAACGACTCATGCTTTTTTTGTCTCACAAAAGGAGGCACAAACCACTCCATGAAGGTATTAGTGAACTCCTTCCAAGAGATTAGAGCATTTGATCTTCCTTGAAATTTCTTTATATTAGCCTAGCTACCAATGACATGCTTTCTCATCAAACAAAAATAACACCAAGGGCACCTTACGGTTATTTGGATACTACATCCCATTAAATACATTCTTAATCTCAATAACTAGTTCTTTACAACCAGAAGTTTTACAACACCTTCAAATATCAAAGGCTTAAATCTGAGAAACAATTTCAAATGTCTATACACCTTTCAATTCTAATAATAAATATTCAGCTCTGGGCTTCCCTATGAGCTAAGCCATCCATATTAAACTGAGATACAAAATCAAAAGTTATAATACCTACTATACTTTACACTAGTATAGTTTGGCTAGAACTCTGCCCATCATTCATTTTTTATTGTTAGAGATCCATCATATTACATCATGAAATTTGAAAAGACTATATAGATTGTTAACCTACGTAATTATCCCAAGGCTAACCAAGAGGGGGGTGGTAAATTGGTAATTTAAAAATTCCCTCTTGAATAAAAACCTATTATAAAATTATATGCACAATTTAGATTTTTTTTAAGCAAAAATTTTTTCAACCACTTAAAATAAAAAGTGCAGTAAATAAAATTGCACAAAAGTAAAAAAAAAACACAAAGATTTATAGTGGTTCGATCCAATTAGACCAACATTCACTCCTTGAAGACTCCCTCTTCATGTATTGTACTATTACCAAAGTGACTCTCCTTTTAACCCCACAGCAAGGCAGAGAAACCTTTACAATTAACCTCTCTTCTATTAATACCCGGTGCAGTACAGTACCATCATCCTTTCACACCCTCCAAGTGTCGGCAGAGTAATGTCATCCTTTCACACTTCTCCAAGTGTAGGTAGAGAACCGACATCCTTTCATACCCTCCTGATGTCGGCAGAGAACCATATCTTCTTCAAAGATCTTATGAAGAGAAATTCCGAAGAAGTAGAGAAGAGAATTGACAAGACTTACAAAGAGATCCTCACCATTGGGTAACCTAGTGAACCCTTCACAATTTCTACTAGAAAATCTCTCTCCACACTCTCAAAACACTCTCACACTTTTGATCTCAAGAAAAATAAAGAATGTTTTTTTTCTAAATCAGTTTCTAAGGAGTATACATATGAAAGATACAAAAAATCATCCTAAAATTGAAAATTACAGGTTTGAGCATCTGCGATCATATAGTACGATCTACGTTAGTACGTACGAATAATATAAAGTTTGCTCGTACGAACCTGTACAAAACATTTTCGTACAAGAACATCATACAATACGAAACTATATCGTCTTGGATGAATAATTAAAAAAAAATTTTGTTTGTATGGATGAAAATGTTCGCAAC